TCTCTTTATTTCTATTTTCGTTTCATTTTTTTTTAGTCTTTCATATCGGAAAACCTAATTTTTTTATACATTTATATTTGAATTTAATATTTATTTTTTTACTTATTTTGTCCTTTTTTATTTACACAACGGTTTTAAGATGAACTAAAAAAAACAAGGTGAAAAGAAGGTAATGCGCCAATATCTAAAATAGGGAGGGTCTGCTAAATGAAAATAAATCTTTTTTTTTGGTTGTTTGTTTTTTATTTTATTTTATTTTAATTTTACTATTTGTTTTACCTTGGGATCTTGGGAAAAATATTCAAAGAAAGGACATTTATTGAGTTTGGTACAAGGCCATAGTAGGTTACCCAGTGAGCTTGCACTTATTAACTTACTAATAATTACTAACTATTATTCCTACGGTGAAATATGAAATAATACAATTGAATAATACATCTCTTTTCACCCCGCTATGGGTTAAATAGTAGAACTCGTACCTAGAAAATCATTATTACTTCCAAAAAATTGTTAATTCAATAATATTCACTCGCAAAAAAAAAGTATTATTGTTTACAATCCCCCAAAAGATGTTTTGATTTAATCCACAAAGGGTTGATAAACCGTAAAAGAAATAATCAAACAATCTCTAGCGATACGTTCACTTGGTTAGCTAGGTGTGGCACAAGATCACAGTTAAAAGGGACCAAGTGAGGATCGAACTCACTGTTGTGTTGTCGGAAATTGTTTAGTTTCTGTTTACTCGGGATTACTAACTGCTCCACGGCAAGACACACATTTGAACATTTTTCTAATTATTTCGCTTACCTTACAGTACACTCAATTTTTTTTCTAATTTTTAGTGCTTTGTTTCCCCCTCTTTCACATTCTTTTAGCTTTTCCTCTTTTTTTCTCTTTTTTACTCCGCTTCTTTTTTTCGTTTTTTTCTCTCTATTTTCCCTTTTATTCTCTCTTTTTTTTCTCGTTCTTTTTCTTCTCTTTTAGTTTTACTCCTTCTTTCCTTTTCTCGTTATTTTCTGCCTATTCCCTTTTTTCCTCCTCTTTTTCTTTTGTCTTTTCCATTTCTTTTTTTCACTTTTCTCTCTTCCCTTCTCTTCTTTTGGCTTTTTGTTTACTTCTTTTTATTTTATCTTCTTATTTACGTTTTCGTTTTCTACTTCTTTTTCTTTTTTTTTCTGTTTCTTCTCTCTCTCTCTCTTTCTCTCATTCCTATTTCTTTTATTTCCTCTTCTCCGCTTTTCAACTAAACATATTTGCCTCCCGCTTAAACCGAGAAATCGTTGAAGACCCCGCCTTTCCCTTCATATCACATTTCTTGCCACGATTTCTTTCCATTTATTTTACTTACTATCTTTCTTTTCTTTATCTCGAACTTTCTCTCCATCTCTCTCTTTAATTACCCCTCTCTCTAATTGACATTTTTTCTTCTCCCCGTTTTTTCTTATTTTTCTACCTCTTTTTTATTTCGCGGGTGTGTTGGTGAGATTAGCGACTCGGAATGACTAAAGGGAGAAATGAGTTCGAATTTCGGTCACGTTTGTTATATTTCACGTATACGAAAATGCCCTTGGAAAATGTATGAATCGAACTCTTCCCCTAGCTATGGGTTAAATAGTAAGACTTGTATCTAGAAGAATTATTGTTATCCCCCCCCCTCAAAAAAATTGATACTCACAAAAAAATAAATAGAATTTTTATTTTTCTTACTCTTACAATAAAAAAATATACTTCGACTTTTAAACCACAAAGGGTTGATAAGCCATCAAAACAAAAGTTCTTTTTATTTCTTTATGTAATTTTCAATCTGTCTAGTGAACTAGTCTTTCCACTTCTCTCTTTCTTCTCATGCTACATTTTTTGTCACGCCTCTGTTTATTATTCTTTTCATTCATACTCTTCTTCTTTCTTTTTTATGCGTCTTTCTTCTCCCCCCCTCTCTCTCTCTTTAATTTACTTATTCCTCTTTTCACTAATTGTTTTAATAATATCATTTCTTTTTTCTTTCTTTCCTTAATTCTTTTTTTCTTTTACTCTCTACTTTCCAATTCTGCTCGTACCCCCTCTTTACATGTCAATTTCTCTTCTTCTCATTCTGAGAGTGAGAGAAGAGAAAAAAATAGTAGTCAACAAATGCAAGAAAGTCTTTAATTTCTTTTTCTTCCATCTCCAAGACTAAGACATTTTTAATTTCTCTCTCTAGCTTTATTTTTGACATCACTTTCTTTCTTTCTTTCTTTCTTTCTTTCTTTCTTTCTTTCTTTCTTTCAGTTTTCCCTTTGTAATTTTACACTTCCTTTCTGATCTATCTTTTTTCTTTTTTTAACCATTTCCCAAACTCTCTTAATTTATTGTCCATTTTTCTCTCTATTTTTTTACCTCTTTATTTATTTATTTTTCTTTCATTTTTCTTTTTTCAGTTTCTTTTTATTTTTAATCCCCACCTTTTTTTATTTTTTCATAGTATTATTCTCTGCCCTCTCGCTATTTGTTTATATTCGACACTTATTTTCCTTTCTATACTTTCTCATTTCTCTCTTTCTTCTTTACCTTCTTTCTACCTACACATTTATTCTCCTTCCTTTTTCACTAATTTTCTCTCACCTATATTTGCTTTTCCTCTTTCTTACCTGCTTCTTTTTCCTTTAGTGTTGCTTTCTTTTTTATTTTAATTCTTTTTTTAAGCTTATCTTCTGTTATTTGGATTCTGTTTTTCTTTTTTAATTGTTTTTTTTTTCTTAATCGTTTTTAATTAATTCTTATTGTAAAGATAAAACTATTTTTTGTTTCTTTTTCGTTATTTTAATTCTTTCTTTTTATTTTGATTATTTTTTTAATCATTCTTTTTCTTTAGTAATAAATTAATTCTTATTCTTTTTTTAATTTTGTTTATACTTCTTTTTAATTCATTCCTTCTTTTTCTAATTTTAATTTTCTTTCCTTTTCTTATTTAATTTCTTTCATTCTCTTTCGCTTTTAGTTTTACTTTTATCTCTCTTTTTATTTTCCTCTTTTTTGTTCTGCATCCTCTTTTCTTTCTTTTTCCAACAACTTCTCTCTTTTCCATTACACTATCTCTTTTCTTTGTCAATTGTCTCTCTTTTTTATTTTCGCCTTCTCTTTCTCTCCTTCTGTTCACCTTTAATAAATAGAAAGATGAAATTAATTTTTCAACGTATTTAATTCCATCTTCTTGCTTTCTCTTTCCTGATATCTCTTTCTCGATTTTTTTATTAATTACTTTTATTTATTATTGCTTCTTGTTTATAATTTAACTCTTCTTTTCCCTTCCTTATTCAATTATCTCTCTCTCTCTCCGTCTCTCCAAGCCCCACCTCCAGTCTATCGAAAATCTTAAAATAACTTTTATGCAACGTTCGTGTAATTCCGGCGAAAATCGTTGAAGGCTAACAAAGAATACGGGGTTTTATTTATGCGTAGATCGACTAATATCACTTTTTTTTTCTTTTTTCTAATGTTTTAACGTTCTCTGTGCTAGTGAAAAAAATTATTTACTCATGAAATTAGTAAATGTTTAAATAAATTTATTTTTGTTTATGAATTTGAACAGGGTAAGGAAAAAAAAAAGGTTTAACAAACACACGCAAAAAAAAGAAAGAAAGAAGCACGTAGCGTCTCTATCCAGTCCGCAACGATGATGTCATTGCATCATGTGACCAGAAAGCGACGTTCTGATTGGTCGATGGTTTGATGTTTTGACGATCGGCAAAGACGATGTGTTGATGTTTGCGAAAGGACGTGTTTTTGTGAGGAGCGACAGGAGACTAAGGAATGTTCGTGAGATAAAAGAGATCGTCGCGAAAAAAAGGCAATAATTTCACAAGAAAAGGAGCTCCCCGAAGGACTCTTTTTTTCCTCTCCCTTAAAGATACGTCAACTGGAAAAGCTCGAAAGAAAATCTTTGTACGGAACGGTGTGTTTTACTTTTTTCGCTTTCGAAGAAAACGAAAAAAAAAGGCTGATCGCCATTTTGTGAGAAATTTGTTGTTTTTGTGTGTCTGAAATATTTTTTCCCTTCTCTCTCTTTTTTTTTTTTTAGTTTAATTACTATTTTTATTTAAATCAGTTAAGTTTTTTTTACTTTAAATTCTCATTTGTGACTATATGTTTATTTAAGAACCTGATCTCCAATATATCTTTCTTTCAGTGTTATTGTTTTTTTTTTGTTTAGGCTAATTTTCATCTTTTTTCATAATTTTTTTCCTTTTTTTACTGAAATTTCTTTCAAATATAAGCTAAATATATATTTTTCTTAATTTCTTTACATAAAATCAGTTCTAAATCAATTACAATATTGTAATTATTTTTTCTCTTTGTTAGATTTAAAACAGCTGTCTCACTAGTAATCTTTTTTGTTAAATTTTATCAGATTGATATCTTGTCTCTTTAAAAAAAATAAAAAAAAAATACAATATTTAGATTTTAAATTAGATACTACGAAATAAGCTATTAACGAATAAGTGTTTATATAAATAAGCGTGTATATGTACAGTTATAAATTAATGATCTTTTAAAAGAAATTTTTAAAGATAAGTGAAATCTTTCTCTCTCCTTATTTCCATGTCAAACCGGGCAAAAAACATTTTTGTGGAAAAACAAACAAACAAAAAACGAGGTAAATTCAATATATGTATATATACATATATTAAGGCAGCAGTTTCCATTCATTGATGACTTGCTATATAATTATTCTGGCAATTGTTATTAAAGAAGATTAAAACAAGTCTTTGAAAGACCGTGGACTAGCTAAAAAATATATATATATCTTAAAAACTAACAATTTGGAATTATAGAAAAAGTTAAGCAAAGAGGCTCTGAAAATAATAGCCTTTTAAATAAAATATTAAAGCTAGTCAAAGATAAAGAAGAAAAGAGAAGAAAAAAAAAATAGAAAAATTAATCCAACGTTTGTTGTTGCGATTCAAAATTTCTTCTACGGGGCTGGTAATTTTCAGTCTTCAAAACGTCGCTCCACCTGACCTATGACCTTCCCGAAAATGAAGAAAGTGGGTATGAACTCTCCAGGACAGCTGAGGTTACAGCGCGACCAGTTTGCCCGTATGATGACGGCAACCAAAAAGACAAATCCAAACCCTTACCATCATTACATTTCTAACAGTAACCATAAAAATAAAGGGTCATCTTCCTCTAGCAATAACAGCAGAACCTCCCCCCACAGCCACAACACTACCAAACAACAAATCCCACAACAATTCCTACAAAAGCTGGTCTCAGTAGCTAACAACCACACCAACAGCAACAATGGTATCAATAATGGTCAGGCTACCGTTAGTCCACAAATGTATTATTCGGCTGCCTTCCAACAACAACAACAAAAACTTCAACAACAACCCAACAATAACAACCACCATCATGCACGCCGTCATCATGTGACCAGCCACCATCAGGTTCAGCGCGGCCTCACCCCCAATGTAGGAGATATTCCGTCCTTGGCTGCTGCTGCTGCAAGTACTCCACCTCAAAACAATACCACCACCACCACCACTAATACCACCACCACCACCACACGCAGTCGGCTACTGTTTACACCACCCCCTAAGTCGGACGCAGCCAACACTCATGCAGTCCATCCGGGTACAACAGCCTATGCGGCGGCCAAGTTTAATGATCCTCCTTCACCAAAAGTGCTTCCGAAGCCACCTGTGCATTGGACAAGCACAAGCAGCTCAAAAACGGTGATCCCTCTGCCTAGTAGCCGCCTCCTCTTGAGCAATAGTACCACAGGCGGCACCGTTTCTTCATCTTCATTCTCTCCAAATGCAGCAGCAGCAGCAATAGCTTCCTCCTCCTCTTCCACCACCACCACCTCCATCTCAAGCAGCAACTTTGGCATGTGTGGTGCTAGCGACTCTTCTCCATCATTATCATCATCTTCATTGTTGCCATTGTCAGCATCCTCTTCACCTTCTACTTTGACATCACCTCCCACTAATTCTCTGGCTGCTTCCAAGACAATGTTCCTGTCCAGCCCATATTGCTCGAGTGCTGCTGACAACATGACCAGCCACCTTCGGATGATGCTGAAACTCACGGTCCAGGCTTGAAAAGTTAGCAAGTCATATGAACAAACAAACCTGCATTCTTGAACAACCCGATTTGACCTGACCTCACCTCAATCTACCCAGCTTCTTCTTCTGCAGAGAAGATAGCACTTTCTGCTTCTAGGGAAAGAAAAACAAACTTCCCCCATCCCAGTTTTTTTGTTTTTGTATTTTTTTTTCTTTTTAATATCATTATTGAGAGACAATGGAAACTTTTTTTTTTTTAATTAAAAGCCAAATGAAAGGAGAAGGAGAAAGAATAATATAGAATGCGTCTTTTTTTTTTTTTTTTATTTTCTCTCTTAAGAAATCTAAGATAAAAGAAGTTAAAAAGAAATTGCCCTTCAAAAACCATTGAAAGCGAAAAGGAACTGTTTATTTTAATTTTTTATTCTTAGGATAAAACTTGAAAAGACAGGGTTATATCACTCATTAATGACTGGACACTGTGTATCTTTTATCTGTGTTAAAAAAACAACCTGATCAGCGAACATTCCAACTATTTTTATAAAAATGACATTGGATCAGTATTAAACAAATTCACCTTTCTGATGAAGGTGCATTTTTTTTGCTGAGATAGATTATATATGTATGTTTGTTTGTATGTATGTATGTGTGTGTGTGTATATATATATATATACATACATACACCCACACACACACACACACAAAATCACATACATCAGTTATATATGTATATATACATACATAAATATATATATGAAATGTATATATGTACATGCCACGAATTCTGCCATATCAACATTTCTCTGATCCTTTTTTTTTTTTTTTTGTGTGTGTTCCTCATATCCCTTCACTTCCTTTTCCTCCCCTTATCCCCTTATGACAATTTTCTTTTACAAACTCCACACCCCTTTTTTCTTTTCTTTTTAAATTCAGTACAAATGTCCATTATTTGGATTATTATATACAACCATCCTTTATTGCCAAATGAATATGTTGACACCAATTTTTTTTGTTCACAAAGATGTTTATCATTTTTATTTTATTTTATTTTATATACATATATATTTTTTTCCAGAACCAAAAATTGTTCACATTTAAAAAAAATTGTTTTTCATCCAAAAATAATTCACTCAAATTCATTCATGGCTCCAGAGAATAATTTAATAAGTAATATTCAAAAAGTAAGAAAATCTCTTTCCATATTTATATAAATAAATAAAATATATATATATAATAAATAAATGAATACATATATTTTTTTCTTTAAATAATTATGAATTAATTTTATATATATATTTATATATATATATATATATATATATATATATATATATATATATATATAAATTAATTTGGAATTTTTTTTTAATAAAAGAAAAAAAATTAAAATATTTTTTTTCCTCTCTACATTAGTTGCAGTTAAAACAAAAACTATGGTATCAATTTTTTATTTTTTTGTTTTTTTTTCCCAGAAAAAATATCAAATGACTTTTCAAATGTATTTTTTTGCTATACAAATCTCTTCCCATCAATTTTTTTTTTTTTTTAAATCACTGGGATATTTTAAAGTTTGTTTTCTCCATAAAATACACAATTTAAAAAATTTTTTTTTTTCCTCTAAATCTTCAATGTATTGATACAGCTTCTGAACTTGTCGTTGTTGAAATTATTTCGTGAACATTTCGATTTCGTTCAGTCCACGAATAGCGTAAACACGCTTTTTCTTTCTTTCTTCTTCTTTTTTTAAACATTTAAAGATTGGATTGGTTAAAAAATTATCTGCTTACCCTGTTTTATTCATTATTCCTTTCCAACTCCTGTAGGGATTTATGGTCTGGTGAGATGAGTCAGGTCAACTATTGGAATTTGTTGGTTAAATACTGCAATGATTTTTGCTAACGAACCTTTAAAAAAAAAAGGTGGGGGGTACCTTTTCCTTGTGGAGTTTTGCTATTTCTTAAAAGTGAAAATTATTGGCATCACTTCTAATTTATCAGTTAAACAATTTATATTGTATTGGGACAATCTAAAAAGTAAATACTTTTGAAGACATAATGAAAATATACTGATTCACATAATTTGTCTAGAATGACTAGATTAGCTCAAGCTAAGTAAATACATACATATTTTGGTCTCTAAGTCTCTGATGTACCAAAGTGATCGGCTACTATTAGAATTATTATATTTATTTTGGTTTTTGAGATTTACTTAAGAATTTAACTCCTGAAAACAAAAATTCTGTAAGCAATAACATTATTTTATTTTAAAAAATTCATTTTGAATAATCTAGCTAGACTTTAAGAATTTATTCACTGAAATTTTAAAATAATTTTTATTAACTTTATAAAGTAAAATTATTCAAGAAAAAACTTATGCAGTTATGGTGCATGACTTCCCAAGTTTGACTTGTTTGCTTTGGTCTCGATCTTGTCAATTTGATGATATTGAATATTTACTACCATTCCAATTTTCCCCCCACTCCCCCTGTCCAGAATCTTGTGCAGTTGACTGGCAGAAAGCTACGAATGTTGCTCGGAAACTTTCAATAGCCTGCAAGTTCACACTGATGTTAATCTTTTTAAAATCTTTTTATTTTTAACAGGTGATTTTATTTTGAAAACAATCTTTAGAAAGAATACTTGTTCTTATCCCAGTTAAAGGCCAGTGGCTTTGGAATCTTAGAAAAATAATACTCCTCAGCCCTTTATATTGTTTGATCCTAGGACACCCGATTATTTTATTTTTATTTTTTTTAATGAAAGCAAAAATAAAAGCTAAGCTTGTTTGATATTTTTCCTTTTCTCTTTAAAAAAAAATGTATCTTTTTAAAATCAAAAGACAAGATTGCTTTAACTTGTCAAATTATATAAGTACTCTTGAGCAGTTTTTAATTTTTATTTGAATGAAAAATTTCATCTTTATTGGGTGGGCGGGGAAATATTTTTTTTTTTTTTTTTTTTCCCACAAATTCTATTGGAACTAAGATTTTAAACTGCTGAGAAGAAGCAAGTAAAATCTGTTTTTCGATTTGAAAAAAAAAAAATCTTTGCTTTTTTAAAAGATCTATGAGGATATTAAAATTGATTTATTTTTTTTCTCTTTTTCATGTGGAGCCCTGAATGTGATAACTAAATCATAACTAGCACAGTCTGCTGCCATTTTTTTTTATTTTTATTTTATTTTTTTTTTAAATTTCATCTTTTTTTTTATTATTATTAGCCCATCACCCCCAAATCCTGTCACTCCCAAACATCATTTGTGTCCAGCAGCTTTAGAACAGTAAGCCTATATACTGCAGGGGTAGTTATTCTCACTCACTTTTGTTGGGTGTCAATTTCTCTCTTGAGAGTAAAGAGTGCATTGAATAGAGGCCATGTCAATATCAACTAAAATTGTTTCCTATTTTCTTCAGAATATACTTCTTGGGGATGGCGGGAACGAGATTTCTGGAACCAAGTCCGTAGGAACAAGGGGAGTTTTTGACAATGTCCTGAGAGCAAAACTTTTGGTCTGTTTCAAATCATACCAGTAGCTGGTATTGATCCTTTTAAGTGAAGAAGAAAAGAAAAAAAAATGTGAAGACATCTGTTGTCTGATCTGTTTGGAAAGGATAAGAATGAGACTGCAATTTCCAGGAGGAATAGATACTATTTTTATCTCGATTCTTCTTCTTTTCAACTTTTTTTGGATTATTCACTCTCAGACTGACCCCTTTCTCATAAATATATTGGCACTCCTACATCTACTCGTCCTACCTAAAAAGAAAACAATATTACACAGATTTCAAGTTGAAGATGGAATCAAAACTAATCCCTGCCATTATCTTATATATTTGTTGACTTACTGAACTTTGGTCTGTTCCTTGTTTTGGAGTTGGCCACAGGGTAGATAATCTCTGAACGTCTTCATTTTATTTTCTTTTATTTAATTCTTTCAAAGTTTTGTTTCTGTGATTTGCCTTAATATTTTTTGTAAACCTTTTTTATTTTAAAAGGTTTTCTTTTCACAATATTAATTTTGATTATACATGTAATTTTGTGTGTGTGTGTTCAAGCTCTCTCCAATTTCCTTTGTTGATCGACAATTTTTAAAAAAAAATATTTCTATCGCCAGAACTTCAGTTCCCAAAGTGTTTTTATGCATGAAGTGTGAAAATTGTCTAGTATCTAAATAAGGTAAATTTACATGTGGAATTGACCTGAAATATTTCTAATATGAGAATTCTGATTAGTTGATATAGGATTTTGGCAGGTCACCGGGTCACTACCTGTTTTAGTGGATAGCCTGAAATATCTGCTTTCAATCTATCAAATCTCATTGACCTTTCTCCTCTTCCCAACATTTATATATATATATATATATATATATATATATATATATATATATATATATATATATATATATATTTTTTTTTTTTTTTTTTTTAATATTCCCTTGCCCGCCATCATTTTTCAGAAAATATATATATATATCTATATCTATATATTTATATCTTGGCATTGCTTTCTGTGCATTCGTGAAGTTCACCTACATCGAATTATAATAATTTTACAACTGGCCAAATTTTTTTAAAAAAAAACAGAAAAAAATCACACAAAAAAAAACAACTTTTTTTTTAATTGATGGTAATTTCTATTACTTGGGATGATTTGGGGAAAGACTAAGTTGTGTGCCTAATTTCATTCTAAATGCAATTATGCAACTGTTCCTTTTATGTTCTTAATGCTTGTCTGCTTTAGTAATGTATACACCCACCCACACATATATATATATATATATATATATATATATATATATATATATATTCTGCGGTTGTATTACATTTTATTTTAAGTAACTCTTGATGTATGTATGTGTCTTAATTCTCAATGATATTAACATACTTGTTCGTTTTTAAAATATGAGTGATGTGACTTTAAAAGTGAAGGTTTTTTGTTTTGTCTTTTTTTAATCATATATAATCTTTCCTATTTAGATCCTTACACTGTAGGGAAATAGTAAAACTCAGAAATATCCTGAGGCAAGTCTTTCAAACT